TACTGTGGTAATTTTATGTTATATTTTCCAGATGAATCATATATCAATATAACTTTGTACTCCACTAGGCACATGCCACACTCCTGGGCAAGTTCCGCAACTTAGAGCATGATATAAGCACCCTTCGTGAGCAACTAGAAGAGGAGAGTGAAGCCAAGGCAGGTGTACAGCGAATGTTGTCTAAGGCTAATGCTGAGGCTCTCATGTGGCGCTCCAAGTACGAGTCCGAGGGTGTTGCTCGTGTTGAGGAAATTGATGCTTCTCGCATGAAGCTCGCTGCTCGTCTCGAGGAAGCCGAAATGCAGATTGAGTCTCTGAATGTCAAGAATCTGCATCTAGAAAAGACCAAGATGCGTGCTAATGCCGAACTAGAGGAATTGCAAGTCACCGCTGAGCGTGCACAAACAATGGCTGCAGCTGCTGAAAAGAAACAGAAGAATTTTGACAAGATTATCTGCGAATGGAAGATGAAGGTCGATGACCTTACTGCTGAACTTGATGCTTCTCAGAAGGAATGTCGCAATTACTCAACCGAAAATTTCCGCCTGAATACTGTAAATGAAGAGACGACGGAGCAGCTCGACTGCATCCGCCGGGAGAACAAGAACCTGAATGACGAGATCAAGGACCTGATTGATCAGATCGGCGAGGGCGGCCGAGCGCACCACGAAATCCAGAAGAATGTCAAGCGACTTGAGCTCGAGAAGGAGGAGCTGCAAAGCGCTCTCGAGGAGGCCGAGGCAGCTCTCGAACAGGAAGAGAACAAGGTCCTCCGAACGCAGCTCGAGCTCAGCCAAGTCAGGCAAGAAGTTGACCGACGCGTTCAGGAAAAGGAAGAAGAATTCGACAATACTCGGTGAGGAATTAATGTTTAGTGGCATACTTATAATTGCATCACATGATAAGCAATAGGAAATAAGCTTCACATGCGTTCATGGTGTGTATGTGTGCGTGTGTATGTACACATATATATATTTATATATATGTATATATCTATGCATGTATTTGTGTATGTGTGTGTGTGTATTTTTGTGTTTGCACACACACACACACACACACACACACACACACACACACACACACACACACACACACACACACATATATATATATATATATATATATATATATATATATATATATATATATATGTGTGTGTGTGTGTGTGTGTGTGTGTGTGTGTGTGTGTGTGTGTGTGTGTAGGTGTATACATGTACATATGAATGTATATGTGTGTATAGATATATTATATGTGTGTGTGCGCGTGTGTGTACATATGCATTTTTCCCTTTGTTAAATGAATAACCTTATTTTACATATTCTCAACAGGAAGTGTCACCAGAGAGCCGTCGATTCTTTGCAAGCTTCTCTCGAGGTTGAAGCCAAAAATAAGGTTGAAGCTCTTCGCTTGAAGAAGAAGCTCGAGTCCGACATCAACGAGCTCGAGATCGCCCTTGACCACGCCAATAAGGGCAATGCTGACCTCCACAGGCATTTTAAGAAGATTCAGGATGAGGTCAAAGGCATGGAGACCCGAGTAAAGGAAGAGCAACGTCTTGCCTCCGAGTACCGTGAACAGTATGGCATTGCTGAGCGCCGCTTCAACGCCCTTCACGGGGAGCTGGAAGAATCTCGAACGCTCCTGGAACAAGCGGACCGCGGCCGTCGCCAGGCTGAGACTGAGCTCAACGACGTGCGTGAACAAGTTGAAGCCCTCACTGCCCAGAATTCAGCTCTTTCTGCCTCCAAGAGGAAGCTTGAAGGGGAAATACAAACTCGACAGGTAAGTTAGAGTACATTTGTTTCACTGAAATAAACATCTTTATTCACTGCTGTTGTTTTGCACGTGGTCTTATCATATCACTAGCTTTTGTATTGGTAATAGCAACGGCACAGCCATTGTTACTGCTGCTGTTATTATATGGATCGATAGCGGCAGTAGAATTGTTTCTCCATTTTCTTATAGGCCGATCTTGAGGAAATGATCAGTGAGGCAAAGAACTCCGAGGAAAAGGCGAAGAAGGCCATGGTTGACGCTGCCCGTCTCGCCGACGAACTCCGCGCTGAGCAGGAACACGCTCAGACTCAGGCCAAGATGCGGAAGGCCTTGGAGGTCAACGTGAAGGACCTCCAGTCCCGTCTAGAAGAGACTGAAACTACGGTTATGAGGACAGGGAAAAAGGCTATCAGCGACCTCGAAGTTCGCATCCATGAACTCGAGATTTCCTTAGATAACGAGACTCGTAGCCACGCAGACTCTCAGAAGAACCTGAGGAAGTGCGAGAGGCGCATCAAGGAGCTCGCCTTCCAGACTGACGAGGACAAGAAGAACCACGACAGGATGCAGGACCTCGTCGATAAGCTCCAGCAGAAGATCAAGACCTACAAGCGCCAGATCGAGGAGGCTGAGGAGATCGCCGCCCTCAACCTGGCCAAGTTCCGTAAGGCTCAGCAGGAGCTCGAGGAAGTTCAAGTTTCTTATTAATAGTGTGTATCCGTG